TTTTCTGACTTTAAATTATCTGCAATGGGTTGATAAACCTTAAAAAACGAATCGACCAAAAATCACCAAACAAACCACTGGCTAATTTTTTGTACAATAAGGTTCACCCTGTACAAGGCCCATGGGATACTCGAGTTAGAGGGTTACAGTAAGAGGAAGTTTATGCGATAGGAAGAGAAGATAAGGGTAAACCCTAGACTTGAACACGTTAAGATTGTAGTGATTGGGAAAACATTCTCCCGAGAGTCGGTTCCACAGAGCATTGATGCGTGGGAAGAAGCTGTTGGAGTGGAACTTACTTCTCACCAATGGAATACGGAGGGGATGCAGATGGTTGGCTGCAATGTGAGTGGCATGCCGACTTCTGGTCGTGAAGTGTAGAACAGTCGGAACCAAGGAATGAAGTTCGAAGACTTTCCGTGGAAGTAGGCATAGAGCAGTGAGAGTCTTGCCACAGCAATGCCTGTGTGTGTGCGTGTGTGTGTGTGTGTGTGAGAGAGAGAGAGAGAGAGCGAGAGAGAGAGAGAGACAGAGAGAGAGAGAATTTGGAGGAAGGAAAATAATTTGTCACCTACAGGGACTCTATGGAAACTGGAAAGTGAGGACTAGGTAGCGCCCTCCCAAATATGAGATTAGTGCTCCATTTTAGGCCGGATCTAGCTCTTGTAAAAGTAGAGGGTAACACGAGAAGACAGCAGCTTACTGGATCGGTACAGGGTACCAACCATTTTACCTGGATATTTTAGACCGGATCTAAATCACAATTATCTCCAATTATCATCTTACAATCTAAAATTATTTTCTGATTTTAAATTATCTGCAATGGGTTGATAAACCGTAAAGAAACGATTCGTCCAAAAATCACCCAATAAACCACTGGCTTATTTTTTTACACTCTGTATAAGGTTCATTCGGGGCAGAGCGTTGCAGTTAGGGGAAGTTTATGCGGATAGGAAGTGAAAATAATGGTAAACCCTGGACTTGAACAGGTTAACATTGTAGTGATCAGGGAAACATCCTCTTGGGTGTCGGTTTCACAGAGCATTTCTTAGCAGGAAGAAGCTATTCAATTGGAGTTTATTTCTCACCGATGGAATACGGAAGGAATGTGAGTGGTTTGCTATAATGTTGCTGGCACAGCACCTGCCCAAATATTACAACAGTGCTCTTCTAGAGGTAGAGGATTGCGCGTGGAGTCAGGTACTTACTGGAGCGGTACAGGGAGCCGATCATTTTTCCTGCATCTTTAGCGATGGATCGAGTTCCACTTGAGGTCAGGGATGAGTTTAAGGTCCAATAGTTTCTCAAGGCACGGAGCCTCCCCGAGGGGGACATTCATTCATCTTGGTGGTAGTTCGGGGTTTGATCGGTGATATCTTGAACTGCTCAAATCTTTAATTTCCAGCCTCGATAGAGGTCAAAATATTTACCCAGTTTTCTGGGACCGGAAGACTTATTCTCCACACTAAAACCTCTGTAGTGAACGAAACAAGATTTAGATTTAAAAATTCAAATGTTAAGCACTGACTCATTGATTTTGCTCGAAATTAAAAAGACTCGAATTTACAAATTTTGCTTAACATACACGCAAAAGCGAATCCAAAATAAAACTCGTGAAATTTTTAAATCTAGATCTTGTTTCGTTCACTACACCTCTTCATTTCTTTTTTTATTGGTTACCAAAAAATAAAAAATAAAAAAATAAAAAACAATATGGATGAAATAAAATAAAAATGATTTCCTTTTTCTGATAGAAACGTAAACAGATGAAATCATCTAACATTTAAATTTGCAAACAAAGCAAGAAATATTATGAGCAAAAGAATCTTAAAAACAAATTATCTTTTCTTTGTTCTCTTTTAATTCTCACTGACAAAATTCTTTGCTTGAATCGTGACTCATGCCAGGAAAGATAAAAATGAAATTCTTATCAATATATGTTTATCTCAACCATGAACTGAATTCATAAAATATTAAATTCTGAATAAGGTCAACACTATTACTATTATACATTTTGGCAATTTTTATTATTCTGTATTTATTTTATCTCTTTATTTAAATGTTATTGTAGCTTTATGTTAAAGACATTAAATACCCAAACGATTGGATAAACATTACAGATTCATCTCACTAAGCCATTATTATCTCAAAACAATTTTTTTACGATCTAAAAATATTTTCTGGCTTTAAATAACCTGCAAACAGTTGATAAACCGTAGATTAAGTATCAATCATTCAATGAAATACAGATTAGCTACACAGGCATATCTTTTAGGTTTCTCTGGGATATAAATGTATGGAAATTACAGTAGTCACAAAGTGAGGGATCAGTTTATATATTGATTGTAATATAGAATTGATACCCCGCTTTATATCCATGTTATATGTTTTTGTTTGTTCAAATTCTGATTAGGTATGAATCTACCTCTTCTCCCCTCAGCTATGGGTTAATTAGTAAGATTTGTATCTTGTTCTTTATGTGCCGTGTCCATTCAGGACGTAGGCGATCATGGCTCTCCACCCCTATCTATTGTAGCCTTCCCTTGTCTCTCTTTCCCTCTATTCGACCTGTGAGTATCAGATTCTCCAGGCCCCCCTTTCTCATTACGTGTCCCAGAAATTTCACCTGCCTCTTCCTGGTGTTAAGTATAAGCTTCCTCCTTGTTTGCATCCATTCCAGAACCTCATTGCTGAGATTCGGGGGGGATGTAAAAATGCACACACACACACACACACACACACACACACACACACACACACACACACGCACACACATATATATATATATACCAATGATCATACTGTCTAATCTTATAAAGAAATACAATGTCTGTTCTGTAAGAGGTGCTGTGATGGCAAAATAAGACAAAGAATGAATTATTATTACTAGTAGTGGTAGTAGTAGTGGTATTATAATTATGATTAGTAGTAGTTGTAGTGATGGTATTATTGCTATTATAATTAGTAGTAGTAGTAGTGGTAGTAGTATTGTTATAATTAGTAGTAGTAATGGTAGAAGTATTGTTATTATAATTAGTGTCAGTAGTATTGTTATTATAATTATTATTAGTAGTACTGGTAGTAGTATTGTTATTATAATTATTAATAGTAGTGGTAGTAGTATTGTTATTATAATTAGTAGTAGTAATAGTCATTTTGGTATTGTTATCACTTCTAATGAATGCCGTCTTTTGTCAAATTGATATCAACAGGTGTAAAAAATAGTGAAATAATATATATATATATATATATATATATATATATATATATATATATGTGTGTGTGTGTGTGTGTGTGTGTGTAATTATTTATTCGAAAATTATAACATAAATGTGTTATAAAATCACTACAAAAATAGCCATTTTGTTTCAACCCTTCTGGTGTCTTATCAAGTGATGATGTCGAATGCAAAATAAAGGGTTTACTCCACCGTGCCTCCTAATATATATATATATATACCGGGCCTCCTAATATTATATATATAAGGCGTATTATACATGGAAAATTAAGGTATTTGAAAATCTTGTTGGATGTACAAGATGTAATAATTGTATACAGGACAGAGATTATTAAGAAAAAAAAAATACAGAAAAAAAAAAACAACAAACAAACAAACGCTCAAGTTGTTCGGTATGAAAATGCAGGAAAACACGAAAAATCGGGGAGTGAAGAAGAAAAAAAAAAAAGTCAGGAGTTCGCCGGTTCAGAATTCGAATAAATTTTGTGGACTACGAACTACAAAGGAACATGTAAAATTAATACACCGTGTCAGTTATATAATGAAAACAGAATATTTCACCTATGGGATTTGGATGAACCTACAGTACGGTTTCCGGTATTCCCCAATTGGCTCACACGCTGGGATCCTCTCCTCAGGAAGATATAAAAAAAATCACCTCATTGACTCATAGACTTTAATCAGATTCAAACCCACATCTCAGAGCCGAAATTCCTGGTATCGAGATAATCTACAATATTCCGGGGGATAAACCGAGCCCAGATTAAGAGAGTAGGGATAATAACATTAAAAAAAAAAAATCCGAGATTTGTAATGAATCTTTAAAACATTTTTCTTCATTTCTTCATAAAGCACCGACCATTTTATTAAAACACAATAATTGACTTTATATATTTATATTATAATTGACAATTTTATCGCATTTTTAACTTTTCACATATATTTAGACAGGGCAGTGCTATTGCAATACTCAGGTTCAAAGATGTCATCTGATTAGATTATTGCCGTTTCAATTGGCATTCTGTACAATCAATATATCTCATAGTGGGAAGACTTACAAATTCGGCTGCTACTTTATATATGACTTTATGGGGATGACTGTCACATGTTAACAGAAAATAGCAATGGTAAGAAAATTGCACTTTTTTTTTCCAAAACAATGAATATAAAAACGTCATCTCAAAATCTCCCCTGCTCCAACCTAAACAATCTCTCACTTAAACCAATGCCATTGTGATGTTGCTAACAACAGGTATCCCCGAGGAAAAAACGAGACAAAATAATGCTTAATTGTCTTGAATTATAACGAAAAAACAAAAACAAAACAACAGAAAATTAACGACAGAATTATTCATGATTTTTCAGCAGCAGCAGAGGCAGAGGAAGACGAGAAATGAAATTCTGTTGAGAATTGCCGTTCAAGAAACGTGTTATTTTAGTTTTTCAGTCTTCGATGAATGAACTTTAAGCTAACTAGGGTCAGTCGCAATCAGCTATCAGCACTTGGCATAATAATTATCAACAGACGCGGGTAATTTAATTTCCTGGGAGATCGAAACCTCAGATTTCGTTTCTTTCTTTCTTTCTTTTCCGTTTTTAATTTCATGTATCCGTTTTTCTATCTTTGGTTACAAGCGCCCATCTTTTTTCTTTTCGTTTCATTTCGTTTCTTTTATACATTTCACGAGTTCGTTTTCTTTCTGTCCTTTTTTAGGTATGTCCATTTTTCTTTTGTTTCTTTCCGTCCCATTTTTATTTTCATATGTCCATTCTTCTTTCTTTTTTTTACATTTTTCATTTGCATATGTCCATTTTTCTTTCTTTCTTTCTTTCTTTCTTTCTTTCTTTCTTTCTTTCTTTCTTTCTTTCCATTTTTGAATTTTTCTTATACCGATTTTCGTGCTTCAATTCTTTCTTCCTTTCCTTCTGTTCGTTTTTTATGTTCATATGTCCATTTTTCTTTCAAACTTTATTTCATTCTGTCGATTTTTTGTTTTTGTGCATTTTCTATTTCTATATCTTTCTATTTCTTTCTTTATTTCTGTTATTTAATTTTATATATCAACTTTTTTTTCTTTCTCCCTTTCTTTCTTTCTTTCTTTCTTTTTGTTCACTTTTAATTTCTTATTTTCATTTTTTGTGTGCATTATTTTTTTTACATGTGTCCATTTATCTTACTTTCTGCCCATTTTTTTCTTCTTTATTCTTTCTTTCTTACTATTTATTTTTAATTTTCAGACACCCATTTTCGTGCTTTCTTTCTTTTTTCTCTCTTTCTTTCTTTCTCTCTTTTCTTTCTTTCTTTCTTTCTATGTATTTTTTAATTTCTTACTTCCATTTTTCTTTCTGGGCATTATTCATTTACATATGTCCAATAATTTTTCTTTCTGTACCTTTTTTATTTGCGTATATCCATCTTTTTTCTTCTTTCTTTCTTTCTTTCTTTCTTTCTTTCCATTTTTAATTTTCATGTACGATTTTCGTGCTTTCTTTCATTAACTTTTTCTGTCCATTTTTTTTTGTTCATATGTCCATTTTTCTTTCAAACGTTCTTCATTTCTTTCTTTCTATTTTATATTTTCAAATGTCTATTTTTTCTTTCTTTCTTTCTTTCTTTCTTTCCATTGTTTTTTATTTTCATATGTCCATTTTTATGTCAATTTTTATTTTCCTATGTTCATTTTTTTTTCTTTCTTCCTGTCAATTTTGATATGACTGTTTAATTTTTATCCGTTTGTAATTTCATGTAACCGCTTTTCTGTCTTTGGTTAAAAGCGCTCATCTTTTTCTTTCTTTCTTTCTTTCTTTCTTTCTTTCTTTCTTTCTTTCTTTCTCATCTATTATCTTTCTTATTAATTTTCTTTCTTTCTTTCTTTTTTTCGTTCTTTTTTTACATTTCATTAGTTTGTTTTTTCTCTCACTCTTTCATTCTTTCCTTTTGTCTTTCTTTCTGTTAATTTTTTATTTTCATGTATCTGTTTTTTCTTTTATCTTCAGCTACCATCTTCTTTTTGTCTTTCTTTTTGCCTCTTTTATTCATTTCATGAGTCCGTTTCTTTCTTTCTTTCTTTCTTTCTTTCTTTCTTTCTTTCTCATCTATTGTCTTTCTTATTAGCTTTTTTCTTTCTTTCTGTCGTCTTTTCTCTCTTTCGTTTCTTTTCTACCCATATCAGCGCTTATCTTCAATTCAAGTTAAAATATTTATTTAATTTCACTTAGGTCTGGTGTTAAGCTACAAAGGTGAAATACTCAGTGAGAATTGAATTAATATCATCATCATCATCATCATCATCATCATCATCTTCTTCTTTTCTACTTCCATGTGCCATATCCTTTCAGGACGTAGGCGATCATGGTTCTCCACAATTTCATGTTCTTTGTAGCTCTTAATAAATTGTCTTTTTGTTATCTTTCCTAAACATTGCTCCACCATCCATTTATTCAAGCTCTCTAGGTAGGTTATGCGTTTTTCCTTTTTTCTTTCCTTCACTCTCTCCTGTGAGTAACACATTTTCCAAGCTCTCTTTCCTCATTACGTACCCTAGAAATTTCAACGGCAATTCTCAACAGAATTTCATTTCTCGTCTTCATTTCCTCATGTGACGTATATGTTTCCTTTTTGTTTCCATTTCTCTAAAACTTCATCGTTGCTTACATGTTCGGTCCATGCTTCATCTAATAAATCCAGACAATTTAAGACTATCACTTCTTGAATGTGCCGTGTCCATTCAGGACGTTGGCGATCATGACTCTTCACAATTTCCTGTCTTTTGTATCGCTTAATAAATTCTGTCTTTGTTATCTCCCCTAAAACCTGTTCTGCTCACGTTGCTTATTGGCCTGAATATTCAAGAAATCTTATTAAAGAGGAAATCCGCCCTCAGATAGGATTCGAACCTGCGCCTTCCACCCTTTGCAGGAGAAATCGTCATTAGATTTGACGTTCTTTTAAGCGAGTCAAATGTTCATACCGGTAAACGAAAATAAATATTGTGTTTAAAAAATAAACGGAGCGTCTACTCAAAAATGTGTATCCACTTAAAATAACATTTGAAGTTAGAAAATATCTCGGATTAATAAATAAAAAACCCATTTCTCTCTCTCTCTCTCTCTCTCTCTATATATATATATATATATATATATATATATATATATATGACGTCACACATTTTGAAATGGACAAAGTCAGACAATTATTTTGAGACATTTTAATATATTTGTGTGTGTGTGTGTGTGTTAAGTATGTGTTCTCTGTGTTTCCATTTTCTCTAAAACTTCATCGTTGCTCACACGTTCAGTCCATGTTATTCTCAGCATCTTTCTGTAGAATCAGAATTCTGTTGCTTCAAGTCTTCATCTGTGAGGATGTTGCCCAGTATTCACTGCCATATAGTAAGACTGATATTGCGTAATAGTTCAGTACCAAATTATCTTTTTTTTCAAATGAAATTTTCCTGTTTCTTTATTCTCGGCTAAACTTTAGGAAGATATTTTTCGCTATCCCAACTCGATGATGTATATCTGGAAAAGGCCTTGCTCTGAGATTTTATAATGTGTTCGTGATACCATTGTTTCAAAACACAGTGACCATCAGGCTCTCTGTGGAGGGTACTGCTTTACCATTCTTGGTGACATCAATATTCTTTTATTCTCTGACTGATTGTGAACATAGCTGAAATCTCCTGTGACTATCCTGTTGATGGAATCTGTCAGCATTCCGGGCAGCCATTTTTTCTTTCAGTTAGAGTTATATCTTAGGGAATATCAGTATTTTTCACTATATTCTCATTTACAGCAAAGCTTTCCTGCCACAGTGGAGCTTGTCACTAAGGTCAGTTCTTCCTTTCTCTCTTCCTGTCCTAGTTCTTAATAATTTTTGTCTTTTTGTCATTTCAATCAAACAATGCTCTGCCATCCATTCAATCAAGCTTGTTTCTTCCTGATGTTAAATATGCTTCTTTTTGTTTCCATTTTCTCTAAAAAATGTCACTGAACGTATGTTCGGTCCATGGTATTCTCAGCATCCTTCTGTAGAACCACATTTCTGTTCTTCAAATCTTTTTTTCATTTGTGAGGAGATTGTCCAACATTCACTGTCATATAGGAGGACTGATATAAAATTATAGTTCAGTACTTTTTTCTTTGTTTCTAACGAAATTCTTCTGTTTCTTAATCATTTGCTTAGATTCTGGAAGGCATCTTTCGCTATCCCAATGCGCATTCGGCTTTCATCGCCTTCAAATTTCAATAAGTTGCCAACTGTTATTCTATGGCAAGACGATCTTTAAGTTTAATTTAGTATGGCTCAAGGTCCTGATTCCCATCTACTTAATATTCCTGTGTATAAGTTTCATGTCTAGGTACTTATTAATTTCTAATAGACTCCCAAAGACAATTAGCTGTCTTGCAATCAAATGGGGAATCTATTCCTTAAGTTTTCGTCCACGGAACAGACCATAATATGATGACATCTAAAATAAATAAATCGTAGCAGTAATCTCTGTAGGTAATCAAAACCCTAAGATTCAACCTACACAGGTTAGTGATACTTCTACAGATGACTGAGTCACTACTTTGGAGAAGGACACTCCAACAAAAAAACTACGGCCTTATCTCATTATATGGGATGCAGAGACACGCTACCATTCAGGATAAACCTTTGCTAACTCAGGCACGAGGGCTAAATTCCGTCCCTGCAACGGATGAGAGTGACATTCTCTTCACTAAATCAATCTGTAATATGTTTCATGGCCAAGATGTACATATATACAAAGCACTTCTAACAAGTTCAGGTTTTAAACAAAGTGATCATTTTGTTCATCTGTTGGTTTACTAGCGTTTCTTATGTCTCGACGGACAGAGTAATCATCTCTCGAAATCAATCCATCCTAGAAATAAAGGAAGCCAGTTCGCGCTATAAGTTCAATGAATATTTGGATAGCGCCCAGCACATTTTAGCACAAGTGCATAATTTGCTGTACAAAGTCTGGTACAAGATGAACAATTTTCGAACTCCGAACGAAGTTCGAACTTATTATCAACAGAATACGACACCAAGCCTGTTCCTAAACCAACGGCCTCTGGGAAATAACACAAATACAATTAAGAGAACCTGTACTTGTTATTGTCGGTATGGGAACGAAACCTTTGCGTTTGATCATATTTGAATGTTTTTGCGCATGCGTGCCAAGTTATTGATTAACAATACCAGCTCTTGTCTTTTTTTGCAGCCGCCATCTTTTTATGCAAATGCAATATCGACAGTATTATGCAGTGCTTGGATGTAAACAAATATAAAGAGGTTTACTGGGTTTTTTTTTATTATTAGCATTATTATCGTCTGGCTGTATGAATATTCAAGGAGGGCCACGAACAGAAGATAAGGAGCCAACTACGAACACACGCACGAGATGAACTGGTGATGATCTCTTTCTGTTTTTACTCTGAAGCCTCGTTTTCATTTTTTATCATTCAAGTCACTTTTGTCTTCTTCCATCTTTATTCGTTTTCCATATTGAATTCCGTTTCTTCTTCTTTTACCGCTTTCTTTTTAAATTACTGCTTCATTTTTCCACTTTTATCTTTGTTTATTTTTTCTTCTGGATCTTTATCGCTTCAGTTTTATTTCTTATTCTTTTCTTATTAAACTCTCTTGTTTTTTTTTTAGTTGGTTTAATTGATACTTTTAAATATTTAAGGTTTACCTTTTATTTTTTCAAATTTTTCCTTGCCTTGTCTTACTTTCTTCTAAATCCATATAACTCTTCCTTTCTTTCTAATTCTTTAATGCTACCTTTTCTTTCTTTTTTTCCTTTTTTCTTTTTCCTTGCACAATCTTTATTTATTCTAAATCCATAGCGCACTTTCTTTCTTTCTTTCTTTCTTTCTTTCTTTCTTTCTTTCTTTCTTGTCTTGTCTTGTTCATTGCAAACTACCGTTGGATGTTTTTTTGTTTTTTTTATTTGTTTTTTTGTTTTTTTGTTTCTTTTACGTTTCATTTTCTTCGTTTCCTTCTTTATTTTCTCTTTATCTATCTTGAAACTTTATTCTTTCTTTCTTTTTATTTATTGCAAACTCCTCTTGGCTGTTTTTTGTTTCTTTTACGTTTAATTTCTTCATTTTCTTTTCTCTTTATCTATCTTGAAACTTTCTTTCATTCTTTCTTTCTTTCTTTCTTTTTTATTTATTTATTTATTTATTAATTCACTTTCCCCCCATTCGTTAGCCCTGTTTTACTTCGCAACCAGAGCAACAACATAAATAACAATCACCACAAAATCTCTTGTTCGACGTTGTTTTACGAGATTTTATGTTATTTCACCATATTTATTCACACGCCATCTTGACGTGTTTTTTGATCCCAAGAAATAGTCAATCGGAATTTGTGGGGGCAAAATAAAAAAAAAAAATGGCAGCCTGCTCTACTTGCATGATTACCGTAACACATTCCGCCTCACTTCATCTGACCTAGTGATATCAAGCTTACCTGTATCAGTCAATGTGACATGCCATTGATGAGACATCTATGTCATTAGATTTGGCTATCGGAGACAGTGCTTCTCTCAAAGGAATTACTGCAAAATAAATAGACAACTTCTGTCAGAAAGTAAATCTCTCGATCACTTCACCTTCCATCCCCCCCTCTCTGAAATCACTCTCTCTTTCTAGGTAGTTTCTCTCTCTCTCTCTGTCCAGACACACACACTCTATCTCTAGATAGTTTTATCTCTCTCTAGGCGGTCTCTCTCTCTATAGGTAGTTTCTCTATCCTTCTCTCTAGGCACTTTCTCCCTTTAAGTAGTTTTTCTCTCTCTCTCTAGGTACACTCTCTCTCTAGGTAGTTTCTTTCTCTCACTCTCTCTCTCTCTAGGCACTTTCTTTCTCTCTCTAGGCAGTTTCACTCTCTCGCTCACTAGGCACTCTCTCTCTCTAGGACCTAAAGAGAGAGAAAAACTACCTAGAGTCTAGGTAGTTTTTCTCTCTCTTTCTCTTTAGTTACTCTCTCTCTAGGTAGTTTCTCTCTCTTTCTCACTAGGCACTTTAGGTATTTCCCTCTCTTTCTCTAAGCACTCTCTCTCTCTCTCTAGGTAATTTCTCTTTTTCTCTAGGCACTTTCTCTCTCTAGATAATTTTTCTTTCTTTCTGTTTAGATACTCTCTCTAGGTAATTTCTCTCTTTCTCTCTAGGCACTCTCTCTCTCTCTAGGTAGTTTCTCTCTCTTTCTCTCTAGGCACTCTCTCTCTCTAGGTAGATTCTCTCTTTCTCTCTAGGCACTCTCTCTCTCTCTCTAGGTAGTTTCTCTCTTTCTCTCTAGGCACTCTCTCTCTCTCTAGGTAGTTTCTCTCTTTCTCTCTAGGCACTCTCTCTCTCTCTCTAGGTAGTTTCTCTCTTTCTCTCTAGGCACTCTCTCTCTCTCTAGGTAGTTTCTCTCTTTCTCTCTAGGCACTCTCTCTCTCTAGGTAGTTTCGCTCTCTTTCTCTCTAGGCACTCTCTCTCTCTCTAGGTAGTTTTCTCTCTTTCTCTAGGCACTCTCTCTCTCTCTAGGTAGTTTCTCTCTTTCTCTCTAGGCACTCTCTCTCTCTCTCTAGGTAGTTTCTCTCTTGCTCTCTAGGCACACTCTCTCTCTCTAAGTGGTTTCTCTCTTTCTCTCTAGGCTCTCTCTCTCTCTCTAGGTAGTTTCTCTCTTTCTCTCTAGGCACTCTCTCTCTCTCTCTAGGTAGTTTCTCTCTTTTCTCTCTAGGCCTCTCTCTCTCTCTCTAGGTAGTTTCTCTCTTTCTCTCTAGGCACTCTCTCTCTCTCTCTCTAGGTAGTTTCTCTCTTTCTCTCTAGGCACTCTCTCTCTCTCTAGGTAGTTTCTCTTTCTCTCTGGGCACTCTCTCTCTCTCTAGGTAGATTCTCTCTTTCTCTCTAGGGCTCTCTCTCTCTAGGTAGATTCTCTCTCTCTCTCTAGGCACTCTCTCTCTCTAGGTAGTTTCTCTCTTTCCTCTAGGCACTCTTTCTCTCTCTAGGTAGTTTCTCTCTTTCTCTCTAGGCACTCTCTCTCTCTAGGTAGTTTCTCTCTTTCTCTCTAGGCACACTCTCTCTCTCTCTAGGTAGTTTCTCTCTTTCTCTCTAGGCACTCTCTCTCTCTCTAGGTAGTTTCTCTCTTTCTCTCTAGGCACTCTCTCCATCTCTCTAGGTAGTTTCTCTCTTTCTCTCTAGGCACTCTCTCTCTCCAGGTAGTTTCTCTCTTTCTCTCTAGGCACTCTCTCTCTCTCTAGGTAGTTTCTCTCTTTCTCTCTAGGCACTCTGTCTCTCTCTCTAGGTAGATTCTCTCTTTCTCTCTAGGCACTCTCTGTCTCTCTAGGTAGATTCTCTCTTTCTCTCTAGGCACACTCTCTCTCTAGGTAGTTTCTCTCTTTCTCTCTAGGCACTCTCTCTCTCTCTAGGTAGTTTCTCTCTTTCTCTCTAGGCACTCTCTCTCTCCAGGTAGTTTCTCTCTTTCTCTCTAGGCTCTCTCTCTCTCTCTAGTAGTTTCTCTCTCTCTCTAGGCACTCTCTCTCTCTCTAGGTAGTTTCTCTCTTTCTCTCTAGGCACTCTCTCTCTCTCTCTCTAGTAGATTCTCTCTTCTCTCTCTCTCTCTCTCTCTCTCTCTCTCTAGGTAGTTTCTCTCTTTCTCTCTAGGCACTCTATCTCTCTCTCTCTAGGTAGTTTCTCTCTTTCTCTCTAGACCTCTCTCTCTCTCTCTAGGTAGTTTCTCTCTTTCTCTCTAGGCACTCTCTCTCTCAGGTAGTTTCTCTCTTTCTCTCTAGGCATTCTCTCTCTCTCTCTAGGTAGTTTTCTCTCTTTTCTCTCTAGGCACTCTGTCTCTCTCTCTAGGTAGATTCTCTCTTTCTCTCTAGGCATTGTTCTCTCTCTCTCTCTCTAGGTAGTTTCTCTCTTTCTCTCTAGGCACTCTCTCTCTCTCTAGGTAGTTTCTCTCTCTCTAGGCACTCTCTCTCTCTCTAGGTAGATTCTCTCTTTCTCTCTAGGCACTCTCTCTCTCTCTAGGTAGTTTCTCTCTTTCTCTCTAGGCACTCTCTCTCTCTCTCTAGGTCCATTCTCTCTTTCTCTCTCGGCACTCATCTCTCTCTCTAGGTAGTTTCTCTCTTTCTCTCTAGGCACTCTCTCTCTCTCTCTAGGTAGATTCTCTCTTTCTCTCTAGGCACTCTCTCTCTCTCTCTAGGTAGTTTCTCTCTTTCTCTCTAGGCACTCTCTCTCTCTAGGTAGTTTCACTCTCTTTCTCTTTAAATACTCTCTCTCTAGGTAGTCCTTCTGTCTTTCTCTCTAGGCACTCTCTCTTTCTCTAGGTAGTTTCTCTCTTTCTCTCTAGGTACTCTTTCTAGGTAGTTTTTCTCTCTATGCACACACTCTCTCTAGGTAGTTTCTTTCTCTCTCTCTCTCTAAGCACTTTCTCTCTCTCTCTAGGCAGTATCACTCTCTTTCTCTCTTGGAACTCTCTCTCTCGGTAGTTTCTCTCTCTTTCTCTCTAGTTACTCTTTCTAGGTAGTTTTCTCTCTCTTTCTCTCTAAGCATTTTCTCTCTTTAAGTAGTTTTTTTCTCTCTCGAGGCACACACTCTCTCTAGGTAGTTTCTTTCTTTCTCTCTAAGCACTTTCTCTCTCTCTCTCTAGGCAGTTTCACTCTCTTTCTCTCTTGGAACTCTCTCTCTCTCTCTCTCTTGGTAGTTTCTTTCTCTTTCTCTCTAGGTACACTTCTAGGTAGTTTCTCTTTCTCTCTAGGCACTTTCTCTCTTTAAGTAGTTTTTTCTCTCTCTAGGCACACACTCTCTCTAGGCAGTTTCTTTATCTCTCTCACTAAGCTCTCTCTCTCTCTCTAGGCAGTTTCACTCACTTTCTCTCTTGGAACTCTCTCTTTCTAGGTAGTTTCTCTCTCTCTTTCTCTCTAGGCACTCTCTCTCTATGTAGTGTTTCTCTCTATCTCTCTCTAGGCACTCTCTCTGTAGATAGTTTCTCTCTCTTTCTCTCTAGGCACTCCTTCTGTCTTTATATGCATCTCAAAGACGATCGCATTAGATATTTCAAAGGCTTTTGATGTGACGTGGCAGAAAATGTTAATCCACAAGTTCTCTAGCCAAGGAATCACTGGATGTGTTTTTCAAATAAAGTCAGTCTTTCCTAAAGGGTAGATCCCAGAAAGTAGTTAACGGTCAGTTCCCCAAGGCTCAAGCGGTCAACGCTGGCCTCCCCCATGGTTCGATTTTCGGTTCAGCCTTCTTTCTCCGATCATTTGTGAATATCTATGCTGATGATACAACGGTATATAAGGTCACTTCCAAACACTAGAAACAATATATATATATATATATATATATATATATATATATATATATATTAAAATAAATCATTCATACAAAAAGTAGATTAGTAAAGTTAATGATATAAAATGGCGAAATCCTTTCGCAAACAAAATTTTAAAGGTGCATTAACCTACAAATCACTCAATGAATGTTATGATCCTTGTTTTTAATAACTACAAGGTTTATAAGGTCTTTTTTTAATCTGGAAGTACTTTCAACTGTAGATTCAGTCATCCTCAGGCATGGAAATTATTTTGTTTTTAGTAAAATCCAGGTAGCACCCGAGACGAAAAAATTAAATGCGAATCGAAATATGTTTTTTTTTTTTTTTTTAAATGTCTTATTGCTAGCGGATAAAAACTTGGAGCGTGCGGTCGCAACGCTAAGGTTGAATTTTTTGAAAATTTAAGAGAGTCCATTTTTTTTTTATTAATTTGGCAATTTGAGATTTTTTTGTTGTTGTAAGAGTTTATCAGTCAATGTGGCATGAACTAAATTGTTCAATAAATAGAATAATGTCTCAGTTGTTATCCCGAATATTTACACGTCGGATCAGTTCTTTTAAATCAAATATGTGGTGCAATTCAATTTATATTACAATGAATCATTCGTACCAAAAGTACATTAGTAAAATTCAATAAGTAAACAACCCTATATATATATATATATATATATATATATATATATAAAGAAATATGTTGTAGTGGTTCCAACGAGAACCATACGCAAACACATCCACAAACTAACTCACAAAGTGATTATCCTAACACATTCTACTACACGCAAACACATACACAAAGCAGGAACCCCAATACATACCACCACCACACGCATTCACACCCACATAAAAAAATACAATTATGAACATACACTGAACAGCGCAAAAATAAACCTGTACAGACCACCACACCATAACACAAACAGTCAAAGATCAGAACACACACACATTCACACAACCAACTCTTACAAATACCACCTAGCACAACAAACCAAACCAGGCAACCATTACCTATATCCAGGAGTACAACCAGAATTTCACAAAAAGTTCTACACACAATCCACATACAATCAATACAAAACAACAAACCTAGGAACACCTGGAACAGGCCCCCTAACAAAAGCCAACACACCTATATAGAGCCATCGAGAAACAACAACCCCAATTTTACCAAGGGAAACTCTCACTGGCTAGAAAACTCAAAATGTACAGGAAGAAGGTATCTCTTAGAAAACCCAAGATATATTAAAAGAAACAATCATTATTTTTTAGAAGCCCCAGTCCGAACAAGAAAACCCGTTTAGATGACACAAAACCCAAAATAATAAACCTATCTACATATACACTTACAAATGACGAAATCAACCTACTGAAATTGGGCCTAAAATTCTGTCCTGCTCCTAAAAGCAATATAGTAGACTTAAAAAAGACATTAAGGAATTTGAACGCAAACTGAGACTAAGAGAAATATTTAACAATAGCGAAAGTAGTACAGATGAGTCACTAGTAAAAAAACAAATCCAATTTATTCCCAAACAAAATAACAATACCAATGAGATAAATATATTTTTTGAAAAACTCTGGAACCTTGACCTACAGGAAAAATCCAAATCATTCGACAATCTCACATATAGACAAAGACTAGCCTTAGAGAACATTCGAAAAAATAATAACATAATTATAAAAGAAGCAGATAAAGGCAGCGCTATAGTAATCATGGACAGAACATACTATAAAACAAAAATTCTAGAAACACTAGAGGATAGGAACAGCTACAAAGTAATTGACACTAACATAGACAAAAACATTATAACAAAAATTACAAAACTCTGCACAACACATAATAAAATATTAACAAAAAAAAGAGAAGGATTTCCTAATAAACTTTGTACCAAAAACAAGTAATTTCTACGGACTACCTAAAGTTCATAAATCGAGTGAAATAAAAGCAGCTATACATACACAAAAATCTGAATACATTAGCATCCCAAACCCCAGTGACCTTACATTCAGACCCATAGTAGCAGGACCAGTCTGTCCCACTAGCAAACTCAGTAACCTAATAGACATAATATTGCAACCATATACTAAACAAATTAAAAGCCACATCAGAGACGATATCCATTTCCTTAGCTGCATACCACAAAAGGTAGATCCGGGAACGCTTATGGCAACTTTTTTGACATCAGTAGCCTATACAGTAACATACCCCATGAACTAGGAAAAAAAGCGATCTCATTCTGGATTGAAAAACATCCAGAAATACTACATCCGAGATTCACTAAAGAGTTCATTATCGATAGTATAGACCTAATTCTAAACAATAACACCTTTGAATTTGACAACAAAAACTATATCCAAACCCTAGGTACTGCGATGGGAACAAAAATGGCACCAACATATGCCACCCTAACATTAGCTTACCTAGAAGAAAACCTCTATGAAAAGATAGAACAAATATATGGGACAAATATAAAGACCCAATTCACTAAATCTTGAAAAGATATCTAGATGATTGCTTCATCTTTTGAAATCATCATGGGGTGATATTAACCAATTCCATACACTACTTCAAAACTTACACCCAAAAAAATCAAATTCACGCAAGAATATAATTTTAACGAATTACCATTTTTAGATATACTCATTAGAAATAAAAAACAACCACATAATCACAGATATCTACCACAAACCCACAGACACCCAACAATACGTTCATTTCAAGAGCCATCACCCAAAAAGCTGCCTAAAATCCATCCCCTATTCCCCTAGCACGTAGAATTTGTACAATAGTGACTGATAAACATCTCCGAAAAATCCGCTTAGAAGAACTACATAAAACTCTCAAGAAACGAGGCTACCCCACAACACTAATAAACAAAGGTATTGAACTCGCGAAAGAAATTCCTCTAGACCAACTTAGAAATAAAAAGAAACGTAACGTCGAACAAACTCTAGCATATGTCTCAACGTACAACAAAAAACAACCCAGAAATATTCCCAGAAATCACAAAAAATCTAGATTTACTTTAGCAAGAATAATAAACTGAATAATATACTAAAAACAACCAAAATAATTAAGAGCAAACGCCAATCTAGAAACCTAAAACACATATTAACCTCATCTAAATTTAGTCAACACAAAATACAGGGAGTCACAAAATGCAACAAAAAAAAGATGTGGAGTTTGTGACATCATTATAGAAGGAAACTCCTACACTTTTGAAAACCCAAAAAAACATTCACAATAAACAAAAACTTAAACTGCAACTCCAAAAATGTAGTTTATGCACTTAAATGCACAAAATGTAAGAAGTCATATATAGGCATCAGCCAACAACTGAACAACAGGGTCTCCCTACACAAAAGCAATATAAAATTGACAGACAACAGAAAACTTTTTGTATCACAACACATTTTCAAATGTAACCAGGGTAAGTTTAATATCATGCCGATATATCAGACAATTACTCGTATCTACAAATACAGGAAAAAAACTTTATAGACAAATTCAAACCCGAACTGAATAGATCGTAACCCCCCAAAAAAAAAAAAAAAAAACATGCACACAGGGTGACCAAATACAATGATCGCTCACATACATGGACGCACACTCATATATACGGGGAGACACGAGGAGATATATATATATATGTATGTACACATACATACATTTATGTATGTATATGCGGATGTTGACAACTTAAGAAGTACGTGTGTGTGTGTGTGTGTGCGTGTGTATGTATGTGTGTGTGTATGTGTGTGTACTGGTTCCATGTAGCTTGGGAAATATGTGTGTATATGTGTGTGTGTACTGACTACTTGTGGTGGGATAGTGTGTATGTGCGTATGTGTGTGTATGCGTGTATAAGTACAAATAAGTTTACGAATTCCTCGTAGTAAGGAAATATACGCACGCATATATACACACGCATGCTGACAGGAACACACCAAAATAGAAACAGATCCAAGAGCACATAGAGGTCACTAAAACATTAAAAGATTAAATGCCGATAACTACTCGCTGGACAAACCTTAATTGTTTTATGACCCTTCACGCAGAACTCTTCATTGACAATTCTAGAAAGAAAATTCGGATTGCCAACACACAAACAGAATGTCTCATATCGAGAATATTCCACATTGAACATGAAGAAAAATTAATTATTTTTAATAATATGTAAAAATCTCCACTTTCACCTGAAGACGGTTGCGAGACCAGACCAGAAACACGTGTCGTGAAATTATGTAAAACAAAGTATAATATTTTTCTCAATAAATCCACATTACAACCAAAAAAACGTTTGCGGCACCCCTCTTCTTTTTAATATATATATATATATATATATATATATATATATATATATATATATATATATACGAGTATATGATTATGTATACGGAATAAATTCCAATAACCAACAATTACTATTCTTAAAAGAGTGCTCAATACAGAGTATAGAGAATTAATTTACCACCCTTTTTCCCTTATGGGGTGGTTAATTAATCTGAACCTTTTAAAACCTTTATTCTACAATCTACATTCAACATGATCACTTGATAAGACATCAGAGGTGTTGAAACAAAATGGCTATTTTTTGTAGTGATTTTATAACATATTTATGTTATAATTTTTAAATAAATAATTATATATATATATATATATATATATATATATATATATATATATATATATATAGGGTTGAATTATCATTTAGTCTAACATAGCCTGCAGCC